TTCATTTTACTGCACCAGTCAAGAGACTTTGTTTACTTTTAAAAAGTATTAAAATTATAAAGTTAGTCTCTTACAAATAATATTTTGTATAAAGATTTTAAAAGTTACTGGCATTATGTGTAGGTTTGATGGTTTTTCTCATCTTTTCTTATGATTAAGCACAAAAATATATCAGTCCTTATTTTTTAATATGATTAATACCGTTTTCCTAAGTGTTACCCTTTCTTACCCAGATTAAGATAGGTTGGTGGAAGGGATCAGAGGAGACACTATTGAAACAAGCTATAATGAGTACCATAAATAGCAAACAAACGAAAGTCCTTTGGTTTTGGTGACCACCAGAGCTGCCTCCAAATGCAGAAATAATTTGGCATTTATTTTAAAATGAATTTCAGTACTGCTATAATGTAAATTTTTAATTTTAAAATACATGTAAAATGGGACTCTGTATTGTGTCCATAGCAGCATCTAAACTCCACACCTCCTTGATGAGGTGAGGTATTACTTCCTGAGAAGTTACTACACCCACACAAAAAGCTGCCATTCTTTTCTCCAAAAATGTTATAAGCGGGCTTCCCTGGTGGGGCAGTGGTTGAGAGTCCGCCTGCCGATGCAGGGGACACGGGTTCGTGCCCCAGTCCGGGAAGATCCCACATGCCACGGAGTGGCTGGGCCCGTGAGCCATGGCCGCTAAGCCTGCGCGTCCGGAGCCTGTGCTCCGCAGCGGGAGAGGCCACACAACAGTGAGAGGCCCGCGTAGTACCGCAAAAAAAACAAACAAACAAAACCAGCCGGACAGGTCCCTCTGCGTAAAAGGCATTGTGTGCTGGAAAAAAATAGTAAAATAAAAGAATTGCCAAGTTAGCTCTAAGTCTGGCAGGTTAGACGCAACTGTTGTTTGATGAGCTATCAGGATAGTGGTATAAGCTTGAATTCTGGCCTCATAGTAAATATGACTGTTCTCACCTCCCTATCTGTAGTATTTACATCTAGGAAATATACAGTTTCTTCATAACGAACATGAAGAGTTGTATTTCTCCAGGGAGTGAAGTAGATGATGCCCTGCCTAGCCGGTATGTTTGTATTTCTGTGTAATTGATCATTGTAAGAAGTCACTAAATAGATTCTGGCTAAGGGATGTTTGTGTGTTTTAAGAGTATTTCTGGTATGGGGTTTTATAAGCCTAGGACTTTTATGCACCACTCAGGACAAATTTCTCCCTTTTCAGGAAAGTGTCTTCTGAGATGGCAATAAATAGATTTTGCTATTTAGTCAGCATTCAGTGATGGAAGTCTATTTGTTGCCTGTAAGCTGAAATGGGATATTAAGTCTTAATTGAACGAAGCACTCCTTTCACATCTGACTACCCCGGGAAAAAGCTAGAAGTTGTTTTGAAAGCTCTGGTACCTGCTTTTTGAACTGGGATGCTGTGCCCAGAGTAAGGGGTCCTTACTCAAGTGGCTTCTTTTGTTAGTTAAGATTCATTCATTTATTAGTTCACCAGATATATATAGAGCATCTGCCATGAGCCAGGCACTATTCTAGATGGTTGGGAAACGAAGTCGGTAAACTAAAACAGACAAAGATCTCTGCTTTGGTGGAACTTAAGATGTTCTGAGATACTGGATCGTATGTTCTGGTACAAACATCTTACCTATTAAAACGTAAGAAAGCTTTCGTGAAGCAAACATAGCCAAAAGCTACAAATAATTTAAAGGGTATACAAAAATATACACAATTTCAAAGTAATGGCATTCATCTATGAAAGGGTGAGAAGATTAGATTAGAGATTTAGGATATCTATTCCAGTTCTAAAATGTCAGTGATACAGACAAATAAACACATTTGACTGCTATAGCAAAGCAAATTACTTTGTGACAAACAACTTTGTTGAAAATGGACAGCCATGGTATACGTGGTGTTCGTGTACCTTCTCTATGGTTAGAAAACCGTATGCTAACCCTAAACCAGAGGTTTCTGGCATTGGGAGTGAATGCCATTTCATACACCCATGGACCAGGTGGGAGCTGCCATTACCAGCTTGTCCTACGCAGACCCCAGTGTGGCAGCTCCACAAGTAGATGTCAAGACTTTCGTGAGAATACCTTCTCTTCTCATTAAAGGAGGTTAGAACGCTCCTAGTGAAAGATTCAATGCAGCAAATATTTACTGAGCACCTCCTAACTGTAAAAGGATAGTGTTAGCTTCTAAGAGGACTAGACACATGCCTGCCTGTCTTCTCACCTTCAGGGATGAACTTCTTACAGAATTTTCATCTTAGTCATTGAGGTAACCCCACTGGACACCGTGCATAGTACCTGGCCCACAGAAGGCATTAAAAATGCCTCGACATAGTTCCTGTGTTCAGTGGAGTTCCCAACCCAGTGATATAAGAGAAAACCTTTAAAAAAATTCATTTTCAGTTTTTTTTGATACATGTATTTATTAAGCTGTAAAAAGCAACACTACCTAATTTCATTTAAAATAAATATTTTCCAATTTCAGAATACTTACAACTTACAGTTTTAAGATTAGATTCACTTTGGGAGGTTCTGGAAGCAAATACATTCATAGCTGTACAATCCCCAGGAAGAATCTAAATCCAACATCAGGTCATTCAGTTCCTGCCAGGCAGGTAACAGCATTAAATGGTTGATAGCTAATCCAGCTCTGCAGCTAAAGGGCAGTGTGGGGCAGCAGTGGGGTACAGCACATTACACTCAAAGATGAGATGATAATTAGAACTGAGACCAGCAAAAACAACAGTGTATACAAAGCTTTGAATAAACACCACCATATAGAGCTCTGTGGTACAGAAAAAGCACATATGATCCTAAAGCCAAAACAAAAAGATCTTTGGAGTATACTGATGGCAGCAGTTAACAGCACAGTTAAAAGCATTTAAATCAAATGTACTCATTATTATCACCAGCCAACAGCAAACAGCCAGAACAGGAACCAGTGTACAGTCATAAATAACCTCATGGGTAAATAAGGGCACATTTAACTAAACCACAAAGATTTCACAAAATAGTTATGATCTGAGAAAAGATGAAATCTCTTTGTTCCCAAATAATAGTTAGAACCTCTTTTTATTAGAGAAAAGCCTCAAAATCATTGGTAATCTTTAAGCTGTGTAATTGAACCATCTTAATGTTTCATTTAAATCACACAGAGCAAGCTGCTGTTTGAGCAGTTATTTCAGTTGATTTCTATTAAAGAGTGTCTACCCCATAATATCTTTGGGAATAATGCTGTTCCTCTGCAGCGTTTTACAGATACCACCTGTCTGCATGTCTTGGTAGATCCATGAGGCAGGAACACAGCAGCAGGGCTGGACACCCACCCACCATACTCCCCACAGAAGCACACACACGAGAATGGCTTCATGCCTGATGCAGCTCAGTTAAGGAACACCGGCCGTGTTCCACCAAAAGAACACGTCTAGGTTAATAAGGGGGCAATGGCTGAAGTCACTGATTTAGACTGGAAGCAATGATCAAAACACTTGGAGGCTGCTGGAGTGGGAAAGGAGCCATTAGGCACGATAAAGCTTGGAAGCAGAGTGTGTGCTGATAGAAAAGGAAAAAAAAAAAAGGAATTTGCTATATTAATGAAACAACCAGCATTCATGTAGTTGAGGGTTCTGCACATTTCATTAAACACAGCTTCAAAGAAGTCCATTTGTGTGTGTGTGTGCGCGTGCGCCTGTGTGTGTGCTTAATATCAGAAGTCCTTATTAACATACCCTTTTACCTCTGAGGTATGACAGGGTAACGTATGTGTGCAGTTCCTCTGCAAGACAAACGATGGGTCTCGATTTAAAATGAAATGGTCTTATTATTAACTCTAAAGTCCACAAAAAATATATGACAGAAAATCAGGAGAAAACTGGAGTGATCTAGTGATCCCCCAAATAGAACAAATATCTTGATGCAGACTTTTAATGACAGGTTTAAAAACAAATGTTATTTGTAGCAGTTCCCATACCTTCATAATAACTTTGGTAGCTTAGAGCACTTCTGAATTTATCTTTATCCTGAAAGCTGAAAACTATCTTCTTAAAGAGCTGAAGTAGCACATCCCTTCCTTTTATTGGCCGATAAGTTTGACTAATTTGTTCTTAGCTTAGTCATTTGTGTCTGGTTCATCTCCTATAGACAAATGGCATAGTTACAGCTCGGATGCCAGGTACATGAGGCGTTTTCTGCTTATTTATTGTGGAAAACATGAAAACTGCATAGTATGCCAGCACCCACTTTCCCAGCTAAAGGAAAGAGGCAAATAGCTAAACATCTGGGAAGAGAGGCTGGTCTAAGGGGATATAGAAAAAGGAAATTATTTCAAAAATTATTTTAACTACATTCACACATATGTGTGATCACCAAACATATCTTAAACAGATTCCCTGATAAAATCTAGTCAGAATTGGTCTATCCTACTAATAGTTATTAACTATTATAATTTTTAAAGAGTCACATCATGAAGCTAGGGTGATGAGAGGAGATATTTCAAACACAGAACCATAAGTGCATATAACTGTTGAAACACTCAAACTAAATACGTATTTGAAGTCATGAAAATCACACTGTTTTGCTTCTAAAGGCAGCCTTGACTCATTTGGACAGACTGTACAACAGAGTTTAATTTATAAATGCATATCAGCAGATCATCACCATAAATTGAAAATTCACAAAATACACAAAAATAAATCACGAAGACCACACAGTTAAGCTAGCATTGGTAACTGTTTCTTTTACATCAAATTATACAATGCGCGAGGTAAATATTGCTCACATTATGGAGGGAGATTGTTTTATTTCTATTTTTTCCCAAAGAGATCAGATTTGTCCTGTGTGCACAATGAAGAAAACTCCAGTAACACTGAAATGACAAATGTTGTAAAATATACATCACTACCAGATAGAAATACACATGTTCTTCATAATCATTTTCCACAATTAAATAGGTAAGTGATTTAAATCTTGGGCTTAAGACCATTATAACAGTCCATCAAGATTCTTATGGACGGTTTGGTTCTCCTTTCCATTGTCGGAATCTCCTTGAGGCGTGTACTGGACTTGGTATTCCTGCAGGATTTTAAATACATCATGGTGTCCAAAGTGCAGCGCTTCATCCATGGGAGTATTATTCCACCTAAACAAGTAGCACAGCATGGACTGGGTCATTAGATAATTTCTGTACAAAGATGATAATCCAGCATTCTTAGATTTTAAATGCCGGTAAAAGAGCCATTCAAATTTATCTATTTAAGCAATATTACAAGTAATATTGAAGAAATGCAGAAAGGGATTTATAATCCAAAAAGTGGTATTGGAGACAACTTGGGATATGGGGAGGAAGAGAAAACTACCTTCTGCAAAAGGGTCTTGTTCACATTATCTAAGTGCTTATGAATGGGAAGTTCTAGTGTTGACAGATAAGATAGACACTAGTATTTCTAAATTTTAACTTCATGGAAAGCCCAAAGGATCATTCTTTAAATAGAATGTTCAAAGAAAAATCAGCTCTATAGCATCTATCACCCTAGCCTTTGGTAGAAAATTTGTGTTCCTGTCAATGTAAAATCACAGTAAATCTCAGAAGTCTGGTAATAACCACAGTCTTATTAGGGCTCAAATATACTTTGGAGGAGCAAGACTGGCCTCAGAGGAACTGACATTTTCTTCATCTCTGGTAAGGATGGGACTCTAGGGGCTCAGTTGGACCACTGCACAACCAGAAGAACAACTACCCTTTCCCTAGGAAGTGTGTTTCTGAGCTGTGCTCTTTAGAGTCATATAGATGAAGACTGGAGATAAGAAAAGAAGAGTTGCCAGCAGTGGTTAATCAGCTAATTAGCCTTTTGAAAGAGGAGCCAACACTGTAAAGCACAACCCAAGTAAATGACAGAGCATGATAATTAGCTCCCTAGCACAAACTATTAAGCTTCTCTTCTCATCCACTCTCTAGGTCACTTAGCTTCTCCATGGCTACCAGGCTCTCTGACTCCACTTTTTCACATGCCACTCTCACCAGCTTCTGGTTTTCCTTCTTTCTTTGTTCTTAACCTTTTACCTTCTCAGTGGGGCCCCAATATGGAACTCAAAGGTTTTTAAAACAATCTCATTTAAAAAATGTTTTTGAATAAAGTTTGGTAACCTGTTCTTAATTTTTAAAATCAGGTAAGTAACATTTTACATGTATCTCTGTGCTTCTCAAAAAACTGCTGAATTAAGTTGCCTTTTACTTCTACATTGGCCTTGATTAAGTTAGGGAGTCAGTGGCCTGAAACCGGGAGGTGGGGTGGCTTTTCAATCATCTACAGCATATAATTATCTTTCTGGAAAAACTGGATGTTAACTGCAAGTTATCTTTTTTTTTTACAACTCTTCTTTTCCGTGAGGTAATGCAAAATATCAGCTCTAAAGTATACACTAAATCTGCTCAAGGCTATTTTACAATTTGAGTTGACACTGATTCTATGAAATTGAGAAAGAAGACGTGTTGGTCTAGCTTACATTCTCAAATCATGAATACTCAGTTACCAAGTTAGTTACTGAGCTAACTTTTGCCTCTCAGATGGGTGTTTCTGCTTTCACATTCCTAGGGGCCAAGTTAAGGCAAAAACCAAAACAAAACATTTTGATCCTTAAACATGCGAAGCACAGTAAATATTTCCAGCCTGTAATAGCGTTTTACTTGGGATTATAAATACTGGAGGCAGGGGAAAACACTCTCTTCAGTTTCTTGCTCTAAAAAGAGCTGGTATGGGCATTACATTTGAGGATAAAAGGGAGCACTGTCACCCTAACATGAGGTTTTAGAATATTGCCAATAAAGATCATGATTTTAGGTAATCAAAGTGTTACCATACTTACAAAATTGCTAACAGTTTTCAGACACTGATGTCATAACTTTTCTGCATATCTTGCAAGCTGAGCTAATAAAACCCAAACCACTAATTTAAAAAATAGTAAAACCTTACTAAAACAGAAAGATCTAATAGCTAGAGAATAATCAACTTGCTCCAAACTTACTTCATATAGTCCTCAAATACCCAAACTCCTAATGATAAATATCAAACCTCTCCCACCAAATATTTTTTTTCCCCGTTCTTCTAAACCTTTATTCTCATTACTCACTGACTCATCCACTTATGTAACTCCAGTTATACAACATGCCAGTACATTAGTACAGGCTTTACTTTAAGCATATGCATATATGTAAGCTGCACTCTTACCCCTCCCTTGGCTATCCACTTTGTGAACAGTATTTTACCGCAGGATGAATGTCAATTTTCCATGTGGAGCAGAATATATTCCAGGCATATTTCTCCCACTCTATCTGGAGTGCCCTTCTCTTCCTTCTGTGCCCTCAAATCTCATCTCTTCCCCAAAGCACTGGTTAAAATTCAACTTCCATGAGGCTTTCTAAAACTGACTCCAACCAAATCCAGGAATTTCAACAAACTCCAATATATTCATTTTAGAGGTCTGTAACAGTAATCTCCTTACACATATTTCATATGCCCCTGCAAATGTTATCTTGTCTACCCTGTGTAGTCAAAAGGCCCATGAGGATAAAATTCCTATTTTATCTTTCCAGACACCAAGAATTGTTTTCTTCATACAATACAATGACTGACAGACTAACCAAGAAAATTCTAAGAGAACTTCCTTAGGTAAGAAAGAGGATATAGGAGAGAGAATGATCTACTGAACAGAAACAAGGTTTTGTTGGTTGCCTTTATAAGGCTCCATAGCAAGTTTAATAATGACTCCAACATATACGTAGTGGATTTAAATATACCACCATTTAACTATTAGAGCCCTGTATGATAAAACACTGGCTTGCCAATTATATGTTAGAAAGTAACTTAAGGGCTCACCTGTCCTTGGGGAAAGGATTTACTTTGCAGGCTTCCAGCAAAAACTTAACAACTTCAACATGACCTACATCGAAAACAAAACAAGCAGGTTTTAGTATTAAGTAGAAATTAAGTCTGAAAATAAATAAATAAATGAGTGGTTCATACATTACCCTCTGCAGCAGCTACATGGAGTGCTGTTCTAGAATCGTAGTCTCGCTGTTCCATGTCCATGGCTGACAAAGCAAATCTGAAAATTTGTTAAGTATAGCTATTCATTATATAAAAAATGTAATTCACTTTTGTGACATTTCCTCCATCAGTTCAGTCTAAGGTCCTGTGAGAAAGGTGTCATCCTTCACCAGGCTCTCTAATGGGACACCCTGTTCAACCAGTACACAGACACCTTGAGTAAATGCCACTTCACTGTTCTTCCTTAGCTTTGCTCTTTTTGGGTAAGAGGAAATGTTCACCATCTCTGACAGAATTAAGCTTCGTTACATTATTGTCCAAAACTCAAGAATGGTGGCACAACGATACCCTAAATTTGTGCCTCGGAAGGGCAAGAAACTAACAACTATACTAAAGTTAAATGTTTTCACTAAGGCTCCCATTCTTTAACATTTTACAGTCTACAGATTACAAGTACTAATCAGACTTTAAAATTAAAAAAAATAAAGTGCACATTTTTATTGAAATAAAGGTATGTGAGTTTCAGGTATACAACAAGTTGATTTGATACATTTATGTATTGCAAGACGATTACCACTGTAGTGTTGGCAAACATTCATGTGACATAATTTTCATTTCTTTTTTGTGAGAACAATTAAGATCTAGTCTCTTAGCAGCTTTGAAGTTTACAATACAATACTGCTGATGCAAGTACTAATCACACTTTAAAATGAAGGTGGAAATTAAGCATAGACATTTTTCCACCTTAAAGTTCAGTTGTAACTCTACAAGAGACCTTATGTTAAGTATACAGTCCTATATGACCTTTCCAACACTGGGGATCTGCAGAACACCAAATACCCCTATTTGCTCACCCCCCTCACCTCCAAAGATGGACAGTGGTGGGTAGACGGGGATTGAAATGTCATTGTCCAATTCCAGTAAAACACTAATACCAATTAGCCAGATTAATTGAACAGTTACCACTTGGGAAAACAGAGGACTGGGCTTTTCTAGGAGGTTGAAAAGGAAAGACTGTACAGCGAGACTAAGGCACTGGAAGTGAGAACTTAATATAACTTTGGATCATTTTTATTAGAGGGAAATGGAAGTGAGACTTTATTTAGCTTTAAAGTGGCCCTTTGCCCAGAAGCAACTTCATGAACATCTGTAAGCCGTATGCTCACCCACCCTGTTAACTAACATACCTTCGAAGTGCAGATACATCACCAGTATATGCAGCAAACAAAAGGTTTATCACCGACTTTACCTGTGAAGAAAAGAAAGTTGAGGTATCCACAGGGGAAAATAAATACATAGAATGTACAACTGTCACCAGGTAAGTGATTTCCATGTGCTTTGAACACTTCAGCTGGGTCACACACAAAAATTTATCATAAGTATACTGCTGTAATCACAAAGAACACACGTGTGTTTTTTTCTTTTTAAATAGACGATTATGAGGGGAAATCCAACAATAAAGAGACATGAGGGAAGGAATGGAATGATATCAATTGGCACAAAAGAATGGAAACTTCTGTGAAACACACATAGTTGGGGCAACTGAAAATTGGAACCTTTCTCATTTCGTATGTCTCAGTGGTGGGAGCTGACTTGTATACTCATAAAATTCACATCACATCATTATTAAAAACTAAGTCATGCTATATAAATGTCTAATCCCTGCCAACAATCCCTGTCCTCACCAATCACTGGCTTCTTTGGAAATCTTCAGAGACAACATTCAGTATTAATCATCTGAAACTTACTATACTTTGGTGAGCTATATTTCCCTGGAAAGGCAGTCTTCAGTTCAGTGGCCAGGCAGTACAAATGGGGGCATTCTCAGAGCCTATGACACTGCCTCGGCCCAAAAGGTGGATAAACTCCCAAAATATTAAGTCATTGACATTGAGTGCTCCAAGAATTCAAAGTGTATCTTCTTTTGATATTATCCGCTTTCTTGTCACTAATTAAGGAAGAGGCTACTTATCCTAAAGGCCACTGGATTTTGGTCGGCTTTCATAAAGACTATCCAACCCTGTTTTTGAGAAACCAAACTATTGAACATACACTGTTTGTAAATACTTCATAAATCCCCACTTTTGTCTTAAACTTTGCAACTTCAACATTCATATTGATGATCCAACTGATATTGGACTCAGTGGTAGAAAACAGTTAACCTGGAGGGATGGAAAGTAACCCAGCTATCCACAAACAAAGCCACAGCCCTGGAAGATCTAGATCTTAACCTGGACATTCTACCTTTCCACTACAGCTTCCCTTTCCCACAACCTGTGAACTTTTAAATCGAGCTGGAACTAACCATTGCTGGACTTCCCTAATTCAGCATTTTCAAAATGTGTTCTGCAGAAACTAGTCCACAAAGGCGCCATGAAAAAAAAGGGTTCCGTGATCAGCTATTTTCTTAAAATATTAAATCCCCTTCTTGGAGATACAGAGCCTTTCGTATGCACATGACAAGTTCTGCAGTACAGGAACTTAACCAGCTGAGCACGCCCCCCAAATTTTACTGCTACTTACTGTTATTTTTGAGATCACTCCAAAAAAGCCTTACTCTTAATCTTAGCTTCCCTTCGGGCTACCCTTTACTACTCCTGCCCAGCCTGCACTCTGCCACTCTCCTACTAACCCCAAGTCAAGAACAGTTTTCTCAATGTGGGTGGGAGTTTAACAGAATCACCCAGAATGTTTTAAAAGTATATGTAAGCATCTCTCCTCCCATTTCTAGTCGTCCTATTCCCACACCTCAATTTGACACATTTTAGGGGATACAATATTTTGAAAAAAGTCTCCAGGTGATTTTGATATGCACTCTTCTGGGTCATGAACCACGGTTTCAGGTGCCCTTAACGTTTAAAAATTGGATAAATTTGGAATTAATTCCCTTGTGCTCTTGGGCCCACAGAAAAACACGATGGGCTATTACAAAATTGTTCTCCATATTTCCAACGGGTTTCTCATCACTGCTTGACAATTTTTTCTCTTGTTGGTTCCCTTTTATACTTTATTGAGACCTTTAATACCAGTGGTGACCCCCAAAACATATGACCCCCTAACCACAACTTTACTAAGATGATAAATTGTTTCCATCTCTCCTTCCTCTCTTATGCAAAACATCGGCTTCGAATACCTATTCTCTCTTCCTTTCCTCCTTTACTGGTTCCCTCATCTCTGCCTTAATACAGACACAACCATCCTATTTTGAAAAACCAATATATAACCCCATTGTTACCCCCTTTCAGTGCATGTTTTCTGAAAGTAGTTTATATTTTTAATACCCTGCAAATTACCTTCATACCCACTATTACCTCTCAGTAGTTCCCTCAAGAGCTTCAGCACCTTCCTTAGCCCTGATCCTTTCTGACCTCTCCAACATGCCCCGCCCTCACTCCTTGTCTTCCATAATGCTGATTACCAGGGTCTTCCTCCTGTTGACTGCTTTGCAGAATCATTTCCCACTTTCCACTGTCTGATAATACCCGTACTTCTTGTTTTTCAACGTAATTTCCCTCAAAGCCTTCATATATCCCTTTGGGCAGAATGACTTCCCGATACACATCTTTAATCTAAATCTCTATTCCTAAACCCTAATTCTACAGCTCCACTTGCTTGTCATGCTGTCACTTCAAACTCAAACTACAGAGAGCAAACCTCTCTGTAGCCCCAATGGCCTGGCCTCCAAAAGTCCATGTCCATCTGCCTACTTGACACTGCTCGAATTAGAATTTGATTTCCACCACCTTCCCTCACCCCAAGTTAGCTCCTCTTGCACAGTCCCTCATTCTGGGATGACACTACAATTTATCCAGTTGCTGAGGCCTAAAACTGAGTCATGATCCAGGGCTGCAGCATTTGATGGCACAGACTGAGCCCCCCACCAGGATGCCTAGCCAAGAAGGGGTACTCAGCCTGTGCTCCTCTCACCTACCTCTGGTGCCCAGCACCCAGGTATGTCTATGGGAGGAAGGGAGCCCTCTTCACAGAAACGTGCTGAGAGGGTCTGCTTACGCCAAGAGGCAGAACTAGCTTTTTCTAATTCCCGCAAACCGACCATATAGACTCTGGGAGTATTCCTGCATTCGATTTCATACAACCCACATCTAGCTCAAACGCATTTGCTCCACCTCCAAAATATATTTGGAATCCCACCACTTACCACCTCCATCACTATCAGCCGAGGCTCTGAGTCACCACCTTATGTCACCTGGCAGACTGCCTCCTAACTCTTCCACTTGTTCAACTCTGCTGCCACAGGGATCTACTGAAAGCATAGATCATGGCACTCCCAGTGACTTTCTGTGAAACCTAGAATAAAATCCCAACTCCTTACCATGGCTTTCAGGACACTAAATGCTCTGTTCCCTGGTTACATTGTGCATCTCAGTGTGTATTCTTGCTGGTCCTCGGGACACTCAGGGCCTACACTTGCTGTGCTGCTGCCTGGGATGCTCTTTCCCCAGGTAGTGGGGAGGCTCCACTCCTCACTTCATTCAGGTCTCTACTCAAATGTAAGCTCACTGACTCTAAAACATTGCCCTCTTTTTCATCACTCCTTATCCCTTATCTTGCTTTTCTCTTCAGAGGACTTATCATTATCTGACATATATACACTTACACACACACACACACACACACACACATTTCTTGTCTCCCCTTCTAAACATACGGTCCAAGTGGGCAGAGACCTTGTCTTTTCTCTTCCCCACTATAACCACAGTGCCTACCACACATAAGTACTCATTAAATATAGGTTGACTCAAATCAACACACTGTACAAGTTAAACTTACACAATGTTATACGTCAATTATATTTCAATTAACAAGTGTTGACTGACTAAATCAATATTCTCTCCAGAAGCATCAAATATTCAAATTGCTACCAGCATTTGGGGATTAAATTGTAATCATTATTAATTCTTCTACCTCCCTTTTACTTCTTCACATATCATCTACCACATTTATTCAATCCTCCTAACTGGTGCCTCTTCTTCTAGCCCTTCTTCCAGCCTCCAAAACCTTCCCACATACGTCTAATCATCTTCTCAAAATGCTGCTGTGACAACTAAAGGTTTCTCAGCAAGGGAGTATCCAAAAAAAGAAAAAAAAATCCCCAAATCATTCCTGATAAAATTTAAATTCATTCGCCTTGCATTCAAGATTCTTCAGTGTAAACCTCAACTTCAACAGAGTAAAAACTGGTCTCTCTCACTACCCTTGTTTTGTTTTTCTCTTGGTGCCTATGCTCCTTTCTTTGGAACATCTAGATTCCTAATCAAATCCTTCCCTTCCCGCAAGGGCTAGCTTGAAAGCCCCTTCCCCCAAGCATCCCATCCAGCATTCACTATCCATGCAGCTTGTTGTCAGTTACCCACATAGTGCTTTGTGACAGCATGTGCCAAGGAGTCATCAGTTACATACCTTCTGCTCCTACTAAACCATAGTGCATACTATTTATTTCCTGAAAGTACCTTTTCTCCACCCATTTCTCACTGCAGTGTTATTCTTAATCCCTTCTCTGTGAGCCCTACACCAATCTCTTAAATCAGAAGTCATCTCTATTACATTTGCCTCACTATGGCACTATCACATATGGTATATTTACTTGTGTTTCTTATCTCCCCCACTACTCAAGAGAAATCCAGAATTCTTATGTGCAAACCATTGATATATTAACTACCCATAGTTCTTACTCTTTAAAATATATTATCCTTCTAAGCAATAAATCCTTGACCTACTTCAGTTACTGTATGCATGAACTACATCCCTTTTTTAAAAATCTGTGTTTAGACCAAGCAAGTTTGAAGATATTTTATTGTATATCGTATATACCACTTAGTCACTTAATTATTCAATATTTCCAAAGCTCTAAAAGAAAATTCCTTATTAATGAGACCCAAGAAAGGCTGATTTTAGGGTATAATCAATTTCTTGAGGGTATGCTACTAACACTTTATTCACAAGCATGTTTCAGCTCACAGAGAAGTATAAAATGTGTCATTCACTCCAAAACAGAAAAACACTAGGAGGCAGCACATGCACAAACCACCATTTAAAACTAAAACTACAAATGCCTCTTTACTCTAGCAAATAGCCACCGATATTTTTAAGGTTTGCGTAAATCAAGAAATGAGCTATGAGTAGAATGCCAAGAAAGACAATGGAACAGTTTAACAGTTTTGAGACAGCAGATGGAGTGTTATTTCACTTAGGGACAGTCCGCTTCGTGGCCTGTTAAAAGAGTTCCAT